CTGCATTGCCACCAGGTATCAAAGGGGCAGTGCAGCGTTACCTCGGTGTACATAACGGTTGGGGCCAGACGAGGTGAAGTGAACCAATCAGACGGTTCCACGTGAGAATGTGGGATTGGTTGTACCTGGCCACAAACGAGTATAAGAAGGGTGACCACGCAGAGCTCAGGGAGTTCTCTTTTTACATGAAGACCGAAGCCCGGGCTGAAGACTAGCTAGGACCCTGGACCAGCCTTCCAGCCCTTCTAAGGGTTAAGGCTCAGCGTATCCAGTGGTCAGGACCCACCGGGCCAGCGGTGGGTCAGATAGCCTCCCCTAGGTCCCAGCCGGAGGACTCTGGGATAGGGTAGCGGTAGATGTGCAAGTCCCGCCAAGCTAGGAGGCTTACCTCCTTAGGTATCAAGGAGACCTGTGTGTAGGTTACGCTGAGTCCGGAGGCTGTACCTCCTTAGGGTATCGGGTGAGGGGACCGGATACCCCTCTGTGTGTTAAGGACTGTATGAAAAAGGAATTACAATAAACAGAGTATGCCTCCTAAGAAGTTTACTCGTCTTTATAAACACTACAGTAGCAATGAGATTTGAGAGTGACACTTGTGCTCCCCCTCTTATTGCCATGACAGCAAAGTAAATAGCCATATATGACTAAGCTAGACATCTGATCCAGAGAATAAGCTTTTCAATGCAATTCAACGAGGTAATTTCTTAAAATGCGGAGACAAATTGCGATGAAAGATGCTCAAAAACGCTAACTTAAGGTGTTATTTACTTAGTTTGTATAAAATCGTAGTTTGTATAAAATCATCAATTATTACCAATAACAAAGTTAATAATTGTGTGCATGTTATGAAATTTTACAATTTATAGAAGCAAAATATAAAAACAATATAAAAATTGACAAACTGAACAAAAATCATTATTTTTGCCTGTAGTACCTGGCCTTAACTAATAATCTTAACAGGAACATGATCAATACATTGAGGGTAAAGTTTGCACTTCAGATATCTTTACTGAACAGAAATAATACAGAACCACCAGTGTTTGCCTCACCTGCCAGTAAATGATCATGAGCAAACAAGCTGCTAGAAACGGAAAAGAGATAGCGCCAATCTATGCCAGACTTAACTAAGTCACTAAAATTGAAGAACAAGCGTGAATAAATGCAAGAATATGTATGAAATACGTGCCTTGGGGACAAACATCCATTTTGTACATTATTTATTGTCGTAATTAACAGCAGAGGTGTTGGAATGTTTTATTTGTAACGTCCGGGCAAATAGGCGTGATTGCGATAGGTGCAAAAACAGGTTTCCTGCGAGAAAAATTAAACAGCTGCTCATTTGGAAAGGTTATCATGTATTAAATCTTGACTTAAAGCTTTCGTGACTGCAGGAATTAATATTCTTTGGGTCTTTCGGTAAAGTCACATAGATAAAAAAAATATATAATAACAATAAAATAATATTCTTTAGGTCTTTTGGTAAAGTCACATAGATAAAAAAAAGAACAATAAAATAATACATATAAAAATAAAGCTTATATTATTTGTTCTAGCTACGTGCCTTTACCCAAAGACCCAAATAATATAAATTCCTACAGTCACGAAAGCTTTGTCAAAATAAGATAATGAAAATAAAGTGAATAAAAAATAATAAAAATATCACGACGTTTCGATCGCAACACAAGAAATTGTCATCAGGAGAAAAAGATGGGGAAAGCTGCTGAGGCAGGCTGTTTTTAAAGGTTTGAAATGGGTGTAGCCCCAGGGTCATAAACGAAGTGGGCGGGGCTAGTGATGTTAAAGTGAGAAATTTGCATGTCAATGTAAGATCGGAGAGCTACACGACGAGGGCGCGGAGGTGGCCATTGTATTGTGAGAGATTAGAATTTCAATATAGGATCGCAGAGCCACCGCCACATCGAGGACACGGGCGTAGACGGCTGTGTTCGTGTGAGACATTTAACCTTTTAAATGCCAATGTAAGATTGGGAACATGTAGACAACATGACAACATGACAGCCTCTTCAGCCGCCTCAATGTCAGCGACAGTCTAAAATTGGTTCTAGCTAATAGGTTGAATTTCGCAGTCACCCCTAAACACATCCCAGTTAATGATATTGCCCAGGTCGACGTAGCCCTTAAGGGTTTGGGACACATTCCTGCAAACGTGGCAAGATCGGAAATCGCTGCAATCCTCAAAAATGCTAAGACACCTATTGGCAACATCAGTAAGGATGAGCGCTTTGCACTTTCTCAATTAAAAACAAGAGATGACATCGTCATCCTCTCAGCTGACAAGGGCAATGCAACTGTCATCATGGACAAAACCACATAAAATAACAAAATTCAGGATCTACTTAATGATGGTAGCTATACCAAAATCAATAGAGATCCCACCAACCGCCTGGTTATGAAAACCAACAATATCATCACTGATTCGACATCTTTAATCAAACCAACCAAGCGGGTTTCCTTAAAACCCACTGCTGCTAGACCACCCAGATTGTATGGCTTACCAAAAATCCGTAAAGAAGAGACACCCGTCGTCTCCACCATTGACTCACCCACCGACAAACTGGCCCGATTTCTGTCTGAGACCTTACAACCATTCACTGGTAAGACCACCTGAGCTGTACTTAACTCAGCTCACTTGGTATCATTAATTAAGGACATCTCACTATCTCCAAGTGATTTGCTTGTTAGTTTCGATGTAGTCTCTTTGTTTACCAAAGTTCCTGTGCCTGACACCATTGCAATCATTGAAGATTTGGTCCAACAAGGACTGAATGCTGATGTACCGGTCCTGGTTAGACACTACCTCACCAACACTTACTTCACCTGGAATGGAACATTCTACAAACAAGTTGAAGGTACCCCAATGGGTTCTCCCTTATCTCCAGTTGTAGCCAATGTTTTCATGGAAAATTTTGAGATAGATGCCATCCAGGCATCCACCCTACGTCCTTCCTTGTGGAAGAGGTACGCAGATGACACGTTCGTCATCTGGCCACATGGCCTACCAGCTCTGAACCAATTCCTCAACCACATCAATTCCATACACCCAGCCATCAAAATCACCATGGAGGTGAAAAAGGATGGCAAGTTACCATTCTTGGATGTTTTAATCGAAAAGAGACCAGATGGCTCAATGGGACACTGTCTACAGGAAAGTCACCCATACGGATGCCTACCTAAAACCTGACTCCCACCACCATCCATCCCAGAAGAATTCCCTCATCAAAACTCTACACCATAGAGCTCGATGTATTTCCGACCATCACCACCTAGCCAGTGAACTGGAACACGTACACCAAGCCCTCAAGATGAATGGATATTCAGACTACACAATCCATAAAGTTATCACCCCAACCGTCAGGAAAGAACCATCTGAGGACCCAATCAAAAGCATCACCTTGCCATAGATAGCCGGGGTCACTAAAAAGATGTCCAAAATCATGAGCAAACACAAGATCCAGGTTCGATTTAACACAGTACAAAATTCGTGATCTGATCCCATCTGTGAAGGATATGATCCCTGACATGCAATACCCCGGCGTCTACAAACTAAGCTGTGTCTGCGGCAGTAGTTTCATTGGGGAAACTAAGCCACATGTCTCGGACCGTGTTCGTGAACATAAGGCAGATCTGAAACACGATAGGACCAATACCTCGGCCGTAGCTGATCATTGTTTTTTTGCGGTGGGCTCACACGAAATCGATTTCTCTAAGACAAAGGTACTCTGCAAACCCACTGGCTATCAACAAAGATTTGTTCATGAAGCCATCCAGATATATAAACACAGACACAACTTCCACCGAGAAGATGGGTACAAACTGATCAATCATTGGAAGGACGTTATTAACCAGTTTAAGTCATAACTGGCCGTGATGTTTCCATCCTACCTTACGATGTTAGCAGTTATTTTCAACACACTAACACGGCCGCCGTCGCCCGTGTCCTCGATGTGACGGTGGCTCTGCGATATTACATTGACATGCTAATCTCTCACAATACAATGGCCACCTCCGCGCCCTTGTCGTGTAGCTCTCCGATTTTACATTGACATGCAAATTTCTCATTTAACATCAATAGCCCTGCTCACTTCGTTTATGACCCTTGGGCTACACCGATTTCAAACCGTTAAAAACAGCCTGCCTCAAAAGCTTTCTCCCTCTTTTTTCTCCTGATGATGATTGCTTGTGTTGCGATCGAAACGTCGTGATATATATTTTAAAATTATTCACTTTATTTTCATTTTTTTATTTTATTGTTATAATTTTTTTCTATCTACGTGACTTTACCGAAAGACTCAAAGAACAATTATCATGTATTATTTTACTTCTGTTGGTGTAACAAATAAAATGGCACCAGTGAAGTTTTGCCACCTCGGGTGGTATCGATATCTGGTCTGGCCCAAGGACTATTAACAAAAATGTCCTTGGTCACTGCCATCAAAATCACAGTGTGATACCAGGCTCTTTATCACGTCACTACAATTGATTTGGACAGTATACATATGTGGTACAATACCCACGGTATAGCTGTTACATGTTTCTGTAACTCAATTGAAATTGTGCTATGATCAATCGAAAAGTAATCTTCCCAATCCAGATTTGCGCTACAGGAAATGTATAATGTTAAATAGATTTTTGTGCGCAATATATTTTGCTTCTCATGTGACAGTTGTTTTCACCGCTTTTTTCTATTTGCTTCATTGCATTACTTTTCATTTCGATTTAAAGCTTTCGTGACTGCAAGGATTCATCTTCTTTGGTTCTTTCGGTAAAGTCACGTAGAATGAGAATAAAATAATAAATTGATAAAATAAAATAACACAATAATATTGTTTTGTTTTTGTAATTTTTGGTGACCCAGGTCACTTACAAATGAGAATCTATTCTTTGTCTCCGAGTTCTCACATCGTCAATCAAAATCAACTCGAACTTGACGTTTGACGTCACCACACCAGATATAGATGTCGTGATGTCATTACGTCAAACCATCGGGGCGTTCATGACGTCATGGCGCAGGGTTAAAGGTCGGCCCTGGTAGCCTAGGCGACGGTGGAGGCGCTCATGAGCGAGAGGCCGTGAACGTAACGGAGAGTGTCTCCACACGGAGAGTGTCTCTGTCTGTCTCCACACGGAGAGCTCTCAGCGAGTGTGTCTGCACAGTGCCGCACTGTGTCACCCTCCACACGGCGCCTCCTCAAACCCGAGCAGCCATGGAGAACGCAGACGCCAAGGAGAGGTGAGTTCGAGTCGCCCAACATCACTGTTCTAGACTTAAGGGGTGGGTGAATGGCTTCGGCTCCCTGGGTTCCATTCCACATGTCCTATCCAGTGCTGGATGAGGGGCCTTATTCCCCACGCTGTGCAGGTTGCGATGGTTGTTTTTGCCATACTTCACCACGGTGGTCGGTGCGGCTTGATGAAGGCGGGGAGGACAGCGGGGTTTGCTGCATTGCCCTCTGTTGCCCACCACGCAGCGCCTATCGCACCTGTTATGCATCGTGGTCTCCCATGGCGAGCACTCTACAGGCTCAAACCGGCTTAGCTTCCGAGGGAAGGTTACCGGTGATGTCAGCATCGGCGCTTCACGTTAGACTCGTCAACTTCATTTGGACACGTTACGTGGTATTTGCTCATTAATCACGGACTGCTGTGCATACGATGCTAAAGATAGCCACATGAAGAAACCACCCTTGTAGAGAATTACATTAACAAAAAAAACACGTAGATTGTTTATCGAGAAAAAAACCCTAAATTTTAAATACTTTTTGGAACACAAAATAATCAGCATTCAATAAATAACGAAATACGTAAGCGGACTGTCGCCTCGATATAGGTCTACATAAAAAAATATTTCTTACACAAACCATCGGTCATATGGGCTTCTGAGAGCATAATTTCAGCAGCATTGATTCATCAGTACGAGCAAACTCTGGCCGTTTTTCATCATTCAACGTCTCATCAGCAGAGGCAGTCTTAAATAAATGCTGATGAATTGCCAGATGTTATAGGCAAGGACCTTCACTTTAATATAAGGGTCCTGGCTGGATGCAATATTAGATATTTATGTAAAATAGAAATATATATACTATTTAATGGTCATGTATTTATCTTTGACCAAATTAATGAAATTATTGCTGTAATAATATATAACTATTTAATTATATAATTTAACCAGGAAAACTTTGCTGATCCTATCCAAATCTGATCTGGATCCCATTCAATTTCCTTAATCCCATTCTGTGTATTATTCTAGTAATAACCCCAATCCCTACCACAAATCTGTACCAATAAATCAACACTTCAGACATGTTTTTTTTTAGTTGAACAAAGATACAACTTTCTGCCATCCTGGTGAAAGCATGGAAATCCCAAATATAAAACTGTAGCTACCAGAAGCATTGCAAATGTAATTGTAGCATTTGGCAAAAAGTCCACGTGTACAAGTGTCACAATATGTGGATCCTAGCCATGTGTTCCAGATCTTCACAGGAATTCGAAAATCTTGCCGCGATACAAATAAAAATATGTTCCTGATTGATCGAAAATATGACGTCAAAGGAAGCAATATCGGTGACATGACATCAGGCCTGTGCTTTTTTAACCAAAGTTGAGTCATGTTATGGTTGACCAGGCTCTCGTGCATATCGCTAGTGGATAGCCAGTGTCTGTTGTCATTGTGGGTGACGTGGAGCGATGTTCTGTGTTTGCAGTGTGGAGGGGAACCCCAAGTGGCTAGATGCACACTACGACCCAGTGGCCAACCTGTACACCTTCACTTCATGCATGGGTGAGGTGTACAGCTACGTTTGACATGCAGCTGACTTATAAGATAGATGACACTTGAGATGGTATTTTGCATCAATTTGACTTATTGTCAATGTGTCCACACCACTTAAATTGTCTTCATGGTTACAGATCATAGACTGACTTTGAGGTTTCAGGTTTATTTTCATGGCACAATGTTTAAGGCCACTGCATGTTCACATTTATCCATTCATCTCTAATAACCAATCTGATGATAAGGTTGTTGGGGCACCATGATGGTAACTCTGGTCGTGGTTTTCCTTTCACCTTGCCATTCCCCAGCATCGTAGATCAGCTGCTTGTGATTTAAGTCATCCACGTGGCTGTATTCTGCATCCAATTATTTCCTGGGCATAGCACTGTCCTGATGTAAACTGAGTGCCCCGTTTTTAATTCAGTTTAATCAAAATCAATATGAAATTGTTTAAGTTTCGTTATGTTACTTTTAAATGGTTATTTGAATGTTTTATTGAAAACTGGGGAGGTTGCCAACCTACTTTATTAAGTGAACTTTCTATGAGTTATTGGGTTTTTTCCCGCACCTCAGCTGTGAAATTTTATATATACAACTGTGCCAAAATCATAACCTTCATAATAGTTCATACTTTTTAATGTGCCTTCCTCCACTTATTAATCAATATTCGGGACATCATCACCTGACAGCAACAAATACATTGAATTTTATATCTTTAATATTGTAAGTCATTTTGATATGGGAAAATATCCATTAATTTTTAAGTAAAGTGGATTGAAAATGACGTCAGTTTATACCTTCACACTTGCCTGCATTTATTTTTCAACAGCATTGGCAGATCTGCATGGAGATGGAGACAATAAGGTATGTGCAGGTATAGTCTATCAGAGCACATCAACTTCCTGCTATGATAACACCCCATATCTCGTGCATTTCGCTAAAGCACCATGAAAAATTTGTAGCATAAAACATTATAAGTATTACTTAAATTTTTAATTGATGAAAACGAAGTGCTACATGGCTATATGAATTGTTAATTTGTTACATAAAGCTTAGACACACAAAAATATATTAGGTGAATGTGGCTTTATGTATTTTGGATCGTGTCTCCTAATTATATTTAAATTATGCTGTCACATCAATCTATTATTTTGTTTAGTCCTCATTGCTGAAAATATGCCAAATAAAGTGAAAACCAAATTCTGCTATGATTGAATTTTTTGTTACAATTTTTGATGAAAGAACGGAGATCGTCAACTCTTAACTTAAGAACCCAGTTTAATCTTGAGTGGCTGAAACCCGCAATCGAACCCAGAATGTCAACACTACGAGCTCTCAGTGAGCACTTTGGCCCGGGAGTATCCCATTTGCATCCAGGTGGCCACAATGTGCCTTTATTTAGTATTACATCTACTTGTGGCATCATGATGATAAAGGTAAAATGTTAAGGTGCAGCCCTGCAATTCCTTGATTAAGCTACTGCTGCATGAAGAGCCTCAAATAGAGCGAACGCTCGAGGTTATTCTACTCTTCCACGTTCACCTGACGTGTTAGAAGAGATGTGTGTACTCACATTTTCCCCACCACATCCAACCTGCTGATCGACTAACTGTGGTGTACCAATTTATACTGCGAGGTGGACAGAGACAGGGGATTTGAGAAACGTTCCTCATTGTTTAAACTGCCACCCTAGGAGATCAAATCGAATTAGTGTCCTTTGGATGGCCAGTCCAGTGTGCTAATCATTACTCCACGGCAGCTGATGATAATGATGACAATGCAATAAATTAGGGTTAATAAAATGCATTTTGATTTAAAGCTTTCGTGACTGCAGGGATTCATATTCTTGGTTCTTTCGGTAAAGTCACGGAGAAGGGAAACAATAAAATAATAAAAATATAAAACGATAAAATTCTCACGACGTTTCGACTGCAACACAAGCAATCATCATCAGGTGTGAAAAGCACAGCAGGAAAATTTGAAAAAAGACAGAGGTTCTTTGTAAGCCATCTGGCTACCATGAGAGATTCGTTCATGAGGCTATCCACATATAAAAACAGAGACAATTTCAACCGAGACGATGGATTATGGCTTAGCAATCATTGGAAGGATTTGATAAACCATTTCGGGTCTTAATTGATTGTTCACGCTTACGATGGCTTTCAGACCGCATCCATTATTTTCGTCTCCCCCCTCCTCTTTTCCGAACATAGATGGACTCGTCCATCTGAATAACTGCCAAATCGCTCTCCGTGGTGCTAACGTAAAAAAAAGCACCACTTTTTTCAAATGTTCTTGCTGTGGTTTTCACACCTGATGATGATTGCTTGTGTTGCAGTCGAAACGTCGTGAGAATTTTTTCAGTCGAAACGTCGTGAAATTTTATTGTTTTATATTTTTATTATTTTATTTCCCTTCTACGCGACTTTACCGAAAAAACCAAGAATATGTTCATAAAATAGTTTTAGCAGCTTGAAAGAAAATGGTAAAAACCGACTACCGGTTTGATGCACATATTGAAATATCGAGAAATATCCATTGCATGTTTACCTTTTTAACTGAGAAACGAAGGGAGCTGTCGTGGTTTAATGGTTAGCTCACTAGACTTGCAATCTAAGGGTCACCTGTTAGTGGCGGCAGTTGAAACAATAGGATACATTTCTTAAAACAGTGTCTTTATTTATAATATCCTACTGGACATGGCTTCCAGTATAGCGGTTATCATTTAACAACCCGAATATAAATCATTAACGATTCTGATTTTGTGCATATAGTTGGTGGTGGCCGACTTGGGCACGGGCGCGTACAGCATGAAGCTGCGCGTGTTCCGCGGCACGGCGCCACTCGTAGAGAACACCCTCATCGACCTGCCCACCGGCGTCGCCACCTTCTTCATGGACACCAACGAACCCCGCTCACCCGCCATCGCCGTCGCCTCGGGTCCCTTCGTGTACGTCTACAAGAACCTGCGGCCCTACTTCAAGTTCACCCTGCCGCCACTTGAGGTCAACCAGCTGGAGATGGACCTCTGGATCCAGGCGAGAGAGGTAAATGAGCCCCTTTTACCATCTGTCATTAATTTCATCATGATTATCAATCCCATCAATTTTGTCAATTGAAGAATAAATACTTTTTTGTCGCTAGTGTAAATTATTTTGTCTTGTTTATCATTTGATCTGTTTCATTTGTGTACATGCATTCACCCTATTAGCCTAAATGTATCATTTGCATATACTCTCCATAAACAAAAACATTGATTCTTACAAGAATTGTTCAATACATGTATCTTGGTGTTTCCCAATGACTCCCATTGTTAGAACACTCATTCATTTAATTTTCTAAACATCCCAATGTTGTGCCGTCTTGAAGAATATTGGTAGTAAGGATTTTCTGCATTATTACACCCTTACTGTATATATTATTCATGACAACACAGTGAAACTTCTTAAATATAATTTGTATTCTTAATCACCAGAAAAATCTGAACCGTGCTGTCACTGCTATGCTTTGAGATAAAGATATTCCCGTTCAGAACACTAATGGAGAGCCGAACAACACATTGGGAAGAGCCCCCAGGGAATGATGCTGCAAGATTTGTATCTGAATGTGTGGCTTCGAAAATTGTTTCTTGACATTTTTAGGACAAAATCGACTACATGGCTCTCAAAGAAATGCTGGAAAACATACGGTAAATGGAAGCTTTTAAAGCTCTTTTTGTGCCAAGTGATTTTAAACAAGTACTGTTGCTAGTAGTGTTCTGTGTATTTACTTTACCGAGTTAAATGAAGGGTTGCCTGAAAAAAAGATATGGTGCATTCAAGTGATACGTAGCATTGTCATCTCTGAATCGGTGTTCATGTTAAGACATGCCAAAAGTACTCTGTTAGGTCCAAGTCAAAATTAGTTCCTGCTCAAATGAGCATTGAGGGTATGCCCATCTCCTGTTTAGAGCCCTGTGCCGGTGCAGGAAATTCCACACTTAAAACATTACTATTTTTAAGACTCTTGTTAAATGATGACAGTAAACTTTTGAAAGTGTTTGCGGCTGGGGTTATGGTAAAACAGAAAAGGGTTTGGGATCTATGGTCAAGAGCAGTTGAATAGGATCCATATTAGGATCAAGTGAGTTAGATTAAGGTTTGGATTTCACAATGAAACGTTACTTCCTGAAAATTCCAATGTTTTACTTCCTTGTGCTGTACCAATGGAGAATGTTGTTGCTCCTGATTCTCTCACACATTGCAGGAGCAAAGGAGACGTCCCTCTTACTGTCAGATCGCTAAAGTAAGTCCTGTTTGTGCAATGCAACATCAGCTGCAAGCCATGCACTCGCCTCAGAGAACAGGTTGCACTTTGTATTATGAAGTCTATGCTGTACCATTATGCGTATCAAACAAACAAAAAGACGGGGCACATAGAATTTCATAACCAATATTATTCATAATTGATTTGGGTTGAACCACGTAATGATCTGGCCAAATCATTCTGACTTCCTGTATTTGGTTATTGAATTCCAGGATTTTCCTGGAGATGTTTGACATAGTTTCAAGTGAAGCATCTTTTCTAATTGCTAGATTGAGTTGTGAGAATTGTTCTTCAGCTTACTGGTGAGCTGAAACAACAATTTGTGGGTTAATTGGTGCATTGAAATTGGTGCATTGAATGCTTTTACACGTGGACTACGGAATTTGTTTGGCTGTGTCGTGTGCTGGAGGGTTTTGCGGGAGATATTAGCCAAGTTATTACGTGGCCTAACCCAAAAATATATTTGTGTTGGAATGAGTGATAGTCCTCTATTCATCAAATGCCCACCGTTACAACGTGTTTCTGGTTTTGCATTATAAAATGCGTCAGATGTAGCCTGCTGCTGAGTTTCTTGTCCTTGTTTAGTTGTTGCCAATATTGTGGCTCAAGAGATGCATTTATTTAATAATATACATACAGCGGACTGGCCTGGTTTATTGTATACCTAGAAAGTAATGAGACAGAGCCTCTAATGCTAGAAAGCCTCACTTAGCCTGAAGGCTTTTTTTCAGGAGGGTCCTGCCAAGTTTTCTGTTGATATATGGAATCCCAATTTAGTAATTTGCAGGTATATTTCAGAATTGGGATATTTGGTGAAACCCAGTTACATTGTGTGTTTGTTTTTTTATACATTTTAAAATGAATCTCACACATACTAAGTTAATTAAGTTAATCTATTTCCTAAGTGATGGCTTTGAATCACACAGCTAATATTTGCATATAATTCATATCCGTCTCTGAGTACATGCAAAAATATATATTGCCCATAGGGTTTCCAAGGGAAGCATTACAGTCTTCGGCATTTGCACATAATTCAGCCACAGTCCCTTCTGAGATCGCATACATATATTGCAATGAAAGGCTTAGCTACATGCTGTAGTGGTGCAGTGCTAACATTTGTATGTACTTTCCTGGGTAAATGAGCATAATAGAAAAAAAGGATCATACTGTCATTAAAATCACATGGAGTTTTTATGTTCACCTGACACATCGTAATTTGCTTAGCTATGTTTAGATTTTTTAGTGAATTAGTAATTCTGTTACTCCTGCATTCTGGACTTCCCTTGGCTAATCCTCAATGTCTCCTACTTGCTGTCTCTATTGGTGTGGGAAATGCATGTTTTATTTTGTGTCTGAACAACGCGTGGCTGATAGGGTTGTAGGTTGCATTCACATTACTTCTGTTCATTCGCATGGCAGCTCACAACTGGGCTGAGAACATCTAACTCGCTGTGCACAGAAAATCCTTTTGGGTGGCAACCCGAGCCTTGAACCCTAGATCCCAGGCCAGATAGATCGGTACATAATCATGAGGATGATTTCCCAGAGCTCCACAGCCTCTGCTTGTGTCTGGCCCAGGTTTTAAGAACATGTTATGCTGCTGACAGGTTCCTCATGGTGGAGCCTCAGGAGATGGCAGCCTTCGCTGCCGTTCACAAACACACGCCACTCAAGCGCCAGGCAAGCCACACTCACCCGTAAACCACCCAACAAGCCGCAAAATGTATTTACCGCATTCGGAAAGCTCCTTGCCTATGAGCTGCGTGCAGCCTAGCTACTTTATGGCAAAGCTATATTGACCACCGCGTTGCATAGGATGATGTTGAGGCTCCTGATGCAATAACATCTTCACAATGCTTTATTTGAACAGCTTCCACTGGATCCAAAGAAACAGATAGGCTGCGGTAATCTGTTGTGGATGTGCATGGCTTTGGTGGGCAGTGTTGTTCTGGACAAGCTCAAGAGATTACTGTAAATACCTTATGTCTATCTCATGCCTCCTTTGGTGTAAATAGTGTAAATGTGAATTTGTGTTGAGTGTATGAAATGTATACTTGTTTTGTAATGCTCTTAAATGAAGGGCTCAGTACTGTCCTATTAAAAATATCTAATGATAGGTATCACTGGAGTTGTACATCTTACACGTGCAGCATTAGTTGACAGTCAATTAGTCTGCTATTGCCTCTAATTTGCAACACTGAGCCGTGAGCTCGGGCATGAGAGTGCAGGAGGCGCCACGTGTCTGCTTCTGTCAGCTTTTTGAGGGGTTTGAGCAGTCACTGGATATTGGCCACGATGGAACCAAACTATCGTGAGAGTTATGCATGACTTTTTTTCCACCAACATTTGCACAGATTCTAACTCTACTGGAACTTAGATACATGTGTAACCATTATTAATATATCCAAGCTATTCTGATTTCCCTATAATGACATACTGTGGGTTTAGTTATATTCTACATTGCATATGTGAACAATTTTTTTCAAGCATTAAATCTGTCAATAATTTCTTACAATAGAGAATTAATAAAATACAAGATGCCACCTATGGAAGATAAATGATATGGCATGGCACAACCAGATAGAATTACAAAAATGACACTAAGCCACAAATGCAAGGGCAAATGCTTTATGCAATAAATACAGTTTAACACGTAGCCTTTTGTGACCAATATCATCCATAATAAAGGTTTTTGGGTTAGATCACATAAATATATAAATGTGTCATTAAAACCCGCCACCACCCGACACAGCCAACTATTAAGGGTTGTCATGTAAACAGAACATGCCATTTCGTCACGAGTACAGCACACCGGTGTGTTGGAGAGCCAAGCCACAACATTTACAAACCGAGTACGACGTTTCGCCAGTAATTACAATGAGCTTCATCAGGCGACAGCCAGATTTGTGAAGAAGTCTTACTTTAACATCTTAACACCTATTTCATTGCCGTAAAGGGTAAAACCTATTCTTATATTTTAATAATAGCAAGAGAGGTCTCAATGTCGTGATAGTGACATTGTCTTTGTGCTGTTCGCCTTTTGGCGTCCTCTGGTCTAACACTGTTTGAGACTGGGCTCTAAAGAAAGCTGTCTCTGGTGTGGACCAATCAGTTTAAAAGACAATGCATATACTGTCAGAGCATGTTTTTTGTTTGCATGTTCACAAGTATATGTGGTTAATGCAGACACGATTCCTTGCAAAAGGTTTCAGTTTGGTGTTTTAACATCGTAACACAACTGTTTTATTGCCAGAAAGGGTAAAACCTATTCTTATATTCTCAAAAGTATTCAGACAAGGGATGCTTCTTTGTTAACTCGTGCAAAAGAACATTTAATTTTTTTTGTTACCAATGAGGTTAGGTTGTTATATTTAGCGTAAGTAAATGTGTGTCACCTGAGTCGCATGCAGTCGAGCCTAGCAACATTTAAACACCGTTACTCATAACTCAAGGTTGGTCACGTGTTTTAAGTAAATTCGTCAACTTATTAAAAGAACACTGATTTTTTTAATCTCACTTTGTTTCTACAGCATGTTTGCAATTATTTTTAACGTTTCTGTAATTATTTTAAGCACACAACGAAAGAATAGTCAACTTGATCTGGGCTTCAGACCGTCATTGAGACACAGACATATATACATGCAAGCAGTTATGCAATGTTCATCCCAAATTGTATTATTACGCTTGTTTACCCAGAAAAGCCTCACTGAGTCTCGTTCAGGAGGGTATTAACAAGCCCAATTGAGTCATTGAGTCTTGGGGTGAGCTGTTATCTGCTGATAAAACTTGCAGACAGTGATCACGTGCCTGAGCACGCTGCGGAAGAGCCTGGCGGATGAAGACGCTGTGAGCTGCCTTGTGGTGGGCACCGAGAGCTCCGACATCTTTGTGCTGGACCCCGAGGCCTTTACTATCCTGGCCAAAGTGAGTGTGTGCAAAGCTACAGCCCTTCCCTGCCCTACCCAAGCCACTGCGTTGTTTTACAAATGCACGGCGTGCCAAGATAACAATGGGGATATCGTTTATTTAGCTATGAAACTAATTCTCCATATTCATTTTCTGGAGGTTCTTGCATTGGAATACTTGACTAGTTCCGTTTTAAGGAGTTTTTTTTTAGTTGGGAAGAAACCAGAGTACCCAGATAAAACCTATACTTCCAAGGGGATAACACTCAAATGTCCGCACAGATGGATTCATGAACAGATTTTCTGTTGTGGCCACTTCGCAGCCTGGTGAATTTGAAAAATCTACGAGGTACATCAACCCTTGCCTCTGAAGCGCTGGGTTACAACGTGCGCCACTTCCCACGGGAGTTCATGCCTCACCCTCGCTTGGGATCGTGGGTTAGGAGGTAGACTTTTAATGATGATCATCTGTTGTATTAAATGTAGCACCCATAGTGCCTTCATGATTAGCACGGCTGGCTACGTAAAGTGTGAAAGAAGTTCAAGATACATACGTGTATATGAGTTAATTATAATAATTTTTATGATTCAATGAATGTACCATGAACCCTCAATTAACATTAGGGCATGATTCAATGCACTTGACATGCTATTTGCGTGTTCGGGCTTGAATAAGGATCACATGTTTCTTGCTAATCACAGAGAAAGGAATCTTTGGTGCGATTGTGCGCTGTTACTCCAGGCACAGTCACTGAGCACCAGAGTCAAAATATTTAGTTTGCACAGTTTTCCATTCCCGTGACCCTTCACCCCCACACCCAGAGCTGACGCTCACAGTCCTGCAAGATGCCAAATGGTTTGTGGAAACATCTGTGAATGATCATATACAATATATTTATTTATATATGGTTTTATTTATCACCATCTGTTTGGGTTGATGCATTGTAGAATCAAAACTCTTGTCTGTGAGATTTTAGATAACGGGACATTTTAAGATTTTATATTTAAAATAGTGCCACAGTTTGAGTGTGTGCCGACTGACAGATATGTTGCATATCTAATGAATTAGAACAACGTTATGTAAATTGGGATTTTACATGTACATACACAAATATCTAAAGAAACTATAGCCCAGGTAGTGCACTATTCACAATTATGGAGGAAACCCATAGAGGAAAATGTAAAGGAAGATGTTTTTAAGGTGAAAGTCTACAAAGATGCTCCCATCAATGTGAAACATGTTCGATATGTATATCGTATATAATGGGGGTGTTGACATTCGGGCAATTGCGTGGTTAATTGAAGACAGCACTTCTTGAGTTGTAATTGAATGAGATGAGGTGAACAGCGTGGACCTTAATCGACACGAGGGTGATGGTGGACTGCATGCGTCCCGACAGATGAGCCTGCCCAGTGTACCCGTCTTCGTGGACATATCCGGCCTCTTCGACGTTGAGTTCCGAGTGGTGGTGGCTTGCCGCAACGGCAACGTCTACACCCTCAAGCGGTACCTAGCAGCACACGTGCACGTGGAGCATTGAATGTCCTAACATAAAGCATTGTGAGCGTTGACAAGAGACAAGTTATTTTGAAGAAAGACAGTGCTATCTGCTGCGTAGTTATTTTCATTTAAGTAAAAGTTTTTAACTATCTCAGTTCCCATAAAATGGGTTTAATAATCCTTCTGTACCCACTCTATATGAGCTCGAGCATCCCATTTATACAAAGGAGATTACTCCGGAAGTATGTTGGCGAGTGAGAATCCACTTGGCTTGAAATGAGGCTGGCACACGAGACGTTTGTTTTCACTTGGCTTTAATACGCTGCTCTTATTCCATCCGGAATTTTAGAAAATGCATGTAATTTTTTTAAACCTAAAAATTACAGCACGATCCATCAGCAGCTGGAAAGGGTGCAGCCTCGTAGCGCGACTTCTGCCTTGGCCATCGGCAGTGCCCGTTTGTGTTGCCGTTACGCGTGTCGACGATCTGAAGTGCAGTCTCGCTTAACCCGAATGCCCGTGCGCTTTCCCGTATCCTGTCGAAGGGACTCGAAGAAGCCGCGGCACTGCATTGAGCTGAGCTCGCAGCCCGTGGGGCTTGTGCGCGTCAACAAGAATGTGGTGGTGGGCTGCATGGACGAGAGCCTGCAGGGATACACGCAGAAGGTGTGGCCGTGCCACTGTAGCTCCTACAAGCATTGAGTTTGAGCATTTATCATATTTGTTCTTGTTGACGTGACCCAGCGGGAGTACGCTCGTCTGCTTGTTGCAGAGGTTTGCAGTTTGGATTAGAAATGGCACCCTGGCTGTTACTGCTGGTATATTAATCATAATTGTCCGCCGCCTGCTACCCAACTTACATTGGGATTACACGTACCACTAATCGTCCCTCACTCGCCAACGATTGCCCACTTGCAAGCTGCCGCTGGGGGTGCCCTTTGAATGTTGGAGATTATATGCAAGGCAAGGCACTTTTAGTTGCTGAGGCATTTAAGCAGCGACATATACATGTAAAGATTAGTATTGTTATAACCATTGCATACAAATGCATAGAGTTCCCTGTTTTAAGTTGCTTTCATGTGTTTTATGTTTTTGCAAAATGTTGCCTCGAATTGTATGGTTTAAACAATCATGTTATTTTAAACCTATCTTTACACCACATTCGTAAGTTGTAGACATTTAAACTCCTGTCATATAAAACTCGGCATATTTAAATTCATTAACTAAAAGTTGTCATTCCAACATAAGTCACACCTTCAATCCTTTGTTATTGTGCAGAGCCGAGTCTATTAAAATTTACCACATCCATCCCTGCTAATGCAGAGGACAGCCAGTGGCAGTGTAGATGAGCGGTGACCATGAGTGTTCCTGTCTTGGTGACGGTGGATCACAGGGAAAAAAGTTGTGGACTGTCAACTTGCCGGCCGCCATAACCACCATGCAGCTCATGGACCACAAGGGCCGAGGCTTCAAAGCTGTTCTGGTGGCCATGGTTAACTCCGAGGTGCATATATACCGGGACAAGTACCTCGTGAACATCATCAAAACGCAGGTACAATGAGCGTCGGTGCATGCTTTCAGGTTTTAACACACAGATGGAGTGACGTTTCACGCCTCGTTCCAGAGGGACGGATTTTCATTGTCTTAATGGTTCACGGTGCGGGTTAATCGTGATGATTAGCCATTGTGTGCCAGCGTCCCGGTCCAAATTTAAAAATAATAATTACCCTTAATTTACTCGTTGGAATCTTCATAGCAGTCATCGCCCCTGACTGACAAAACTTGACAGGACGGTACTGATAAAGAGCCATGAGCAAGCCTTTCCTGGGTACTAACAATAAATTGTTCTCAACAGAAATGTTAAGTGCCTAAGGTATATTCATTGCCTTTATAAAACAGGGAAGTGGATTGTGAAGTATTTGGTTTGAGAGAACCATAATTGCGCATGCGTTTTAGAACATCTATAACACTAATTTAAAGCTTTCATGACTGCAGGGATTCATATTCTTGGTTCTTTCAGTAAAGTCACGTAGAAGGGAAACAATAAAATAATAAAAATCTAAAACAATAAAATTCTCACGACGTTTTTGTAATTATTTATTGTTTCACTTCTATGTGACTTTACCGAAAGAACCAACAATATCTATAACGCTGCTGAAATTTGTGACATTAACGTCTTTGTTATGATGCCAAGTTAGTAATTGACATGGGTGACATTCACCACTGATTAATTGCGGTCTTTGTTGTTCGCAGGATGTAGTGACCAGTGTCTGCTTCGGCAGATATGGCCGTGAGGACAGCACATTGGTCATGACCACCAAAGGTAAGGCAGATGCATGAGAGATTAATTATGGTGTGGAAGTAGGTAGCACTTACCCTCACATATGTAGTATTATGTTAATACATATATGATATGTATGTGTGTGGGATGGTATTGTTTTACCTCTATTTTATATAGTTTTGCGTTGAACTAGAACCCATAGCTAATAGAGAGCACCCTTGCCTAAAAATATGATAGTTTACCAGCATTGGTTTAAACAAGCCTGACCCTGTTGATGAGACATTGATTGCAAAAACCTGTGCGGAGTTTACTTGTAATAAGCCAATGTTTCTGAAAATAAATCACTATCAGAAGGCCCGGTTGTGTAAAAAATACATACTTTTCTTTTGTATGTGTAGAGACAGATTTGGGTAGGAGGTGTACTGCTTGCACATTTGTTTTGTTGCCTGTGTTGTTTACAATGACACTGATGTGTTAATTTCTACATTGATCAGGATAACTGTAGGTAATGTCTGCCTCGTTTTTGGCAGGTGGTGGCCTGGCCATCAAGATTCTGAAGCGCACGGCAGTGTTTGAGGAGAAAGACGCCACTCTGGGGCCCCCTGTGGCGCAGAACATCAAGCTCAACGTGCCCAAGAAGACCAAGCTCTACGTGGATCAGACGCTACGCGAGCGCGAGTGTGCCGTTTGTGCGTCTTCCTTATCGGGGGGCGAGAATAAACATCAACTCCATTTCACTGGTGTTAGGGTGCCATCTCAATCAGAAACATGCGGGTTCAAATCCGGTTCAGGGTTTTGTGGAAATTCGACAGTGCTTGCCGAGTGTGCAAGCTGGCTCCCTACATGGGAATGTTGAATTTCCGTCGCTGCTTCAGGGATGCCAGTGGAAATGAGCACCATTCCATTGCTCGATTGAGCACGGAGACAATTTCACTTTTTACTTTGACCAGACGAGACCCATTTTTCATGATATATCCAAATGCCATCGCAAATTGTCCAGCTTCAATCTGGAGCATGGCACTGTGCAATGTGCAACGCATTCACAAAGACTGCCACCACCATCTAGGATCCGCATTGCATGGCATGTACTTCCAAACGTCTCTGTAATTTGAGTGTTAATAATGAAACCTTTTTTCATCCGAAACATATATTGAATCTCAAGACCTCAGGACCCTCCTGGGGATGTGTAGCTAGTTCCTTTGGGAGTATTTTAGATACCTACTTGGCCACAAATTGTGACAGTTAATTGAATTGTGCAGGGGTTGGATTATTACTTCCCTATAACCAAATATATAGAGTTTAAGTTAATTATTTAGTCATTGGATGAGTAGTTGCTTTATTAAGCAATTCCCTCAAACCTTTCTTGCAACTTGCTGTCTGTTACGCACATTCCCAGCCATGCACCGGGTGTTTCAAACGGATCTATATCGCCTGCGTCTGGAGGCGGCACGTGCCTACATGAAGGCCCTGGACTCCTGCCTCGCGCCCGTCTCCTCCAGCCTCGCCGAGCCCCTCAAATTGAACGCCACGGTGCGTGCCTTCCTCGCCCATGTGCACGTTTCTCTGGTCCAAACCTATCTCGAAGCCCGACCTTGTCCAATCCATTCACCTAAGTGTAATATAAGTATAACCTTAATTGCTACCATTTCTCCTGGTCCGATCATCTTTATAAGTCACGATCTAGCAACTGCTAGGTAAAAGCCTTCCCAAGCAAATGTCATCTGGCACGGTCTTGCGATGCAACAATTAATCTAGCACCTGTACAGGAGCTAATTTAATTGCTCCCAATTCGCAGTCTTCTCAGTTGTTTTATTCTCATGAAGTTACCTTTGGTTAACCAGGTGAGAACTCGAGGTAATAGGATAGTCTCATTCGGAAGAGTGGCCTGGGTCCTCAAAATGACAAGCAAACCAAACAAAATAAAGGACCGAAGCTAACAAATTATAAAACAACCGTATATGATGTATCTTACTTGCGTTTCTTCCCTAATCCATGTGTTCCTCTTCCCCTCTCTCAGTGCATCCACCAGGTCTGACAATTTTGTTGCAATTGTGATAAATTGTTTAGTTTGAATTCCATTCTATATTGTAGGCTAATCTCATTTACTAGATTTGTCCACTAGAGGGGGCACGGAGCGCACTTGCAAATTACCTTTACGTAGAAGAATAGAGCTTCACTTGCAGACAGCAAACATGAATATAGAATGACTTGTGATAGGATGGCTTTGTGCATCATAATTGCATGTAATTACTCTGCATCACTTTACAAGGGTCTGTGTAGAAATTCCTTGACATCAGGACCGCTGTGTGGTGCGTGCAGGTGCAGGGCATTGGCCCCAACTTTAAACTGACGCTGAACTTGCAGAATACATCGCCAAGCCGTCCCTGTGTGGGACTCTTTGTCTGCTTCTTATATGATGAGCGCCTGTACTCTATGACTCAAGCCTTCTTCAAGGTGGGATTGTTGGAAACATTTTTCAAAAAAAACAATTGTTCAATTCTATTTTGAGGAACAAATATACAATATACTTTGTGTATGTATGCTTTTCTCTAGCTTCCAATGCTGGTTCCTGGACTAAATTACCCAATTGAGACCTTTGTGGAGTGTCGCAGTGACCAAGGCATCTCTGATATCATTAAGGTATGTTTTACTAATCACTTCATTGACTGGGCAATTATTATTTTAATGATTACAGTGCAAAATTTTGTTTAAACATGTTTATTGCATTATAAGCATTTGTATTTGCTGGATGTAGTCACTTAATTTTCATGGTTGAACCCTGTTTGTTACAATGTTAAAATCCAGTTGTTTGCTGTCTGTTAATTTCTAATGTTCAATGCCAGGTGTTTGCAGTCCGTGAAGGAAGCAGCATACCAATTCTGACTGCTCATATCAATATGCCAGTCAGTGAGGGCCTGCCTTTCTCCTAAGCAGAGGGGATATTTGAGTGGTTGTCACCACTCTTATGCCATCTGTGGTTGTTCCAGCCACTTTCAGTCACTATCAATGGGAGGTGACCATATAACTGAATGATCTAAGGTTCATGACAAAGTTCCTAGGTCAGAACTTCTTATATGCTGGCTTCAAGTCCTGGATTATTACCGACACCACGCAGAGGTCACCATGTGGTAAATTCGACGGTCCGAGTCCTTTTGGCAGTGATTGTCCGGAAAAAAAAAACCCCAATATGCTTTCATACTCAATTCTGCCAAACCCTATGCTGATGATGTATGCAACAGTGTTAGAACTGTTATTAGAACTGTTGCATGAAATTCAATTTTCTGAATTTCTGAAGAGTGGGTAAATGAGATGTTCCATGTCAGATGCAATTATTTTTCTCTTTATTAGAATAATTTTAGTGATGTGATGTTTTATTATGATGCATGAAATTATTGTTTTGCATTTAAAAGACTTGTGTAATGAGATGATCCTGACTGCACAAATACATCTTCTAATATTGACCATTGCATTAAATGAACTACAAAAATGGTACGATAATTTCCAAATCCTGTTATTTGTGGCGCCCCTACGGTTCGCGGAAACTCCGGTAATCCACAAGGGCGAATATCCTTACATTTATGAGTTTTTGCAAATTATTGGATATTTTTTGGAGGGTGGCTCTACATTTCTGTAATCCGTAAAAAAAGTTAGCGATTTTTAAGCGATGGGGCTTTTGTAATAAAATCACGTTTCCCCATGGATTACAGGGTCTGCAAGACTCTACCCCCACATCACCGTGTATTTTTGGATTTCTGTTGTATAGAGTCAGCTCTCTTCCTTTCAACGCAAAATACAGCACAGGATTTATACATTAACATTTCAAATGTGTACAATCTTTTCTTCAATCAGTTGCAAAGTCATGTTTATCCATCACATCATGCCGCGGGTCACGGTGAACCTCGGTTAAACAAGGTTACGTTAGAGAAAACGGCGCAAGCAACTTGTTTGTTTTACTTTTCTGTATTTTTTTTCCTTCTCATCAGTCCTGAGCTTGAACGGCAGCCTTCTTTTTATGCAACATTTACCAACATACCACTCTATGCAGAGGCGCACACTGGCACCAGTAGGAAACAAAAAGCCCTTGCGCGTATCGCTCCCAAGCTCATTCCTGAGCTGCACCCTTTTCCCACGGCCCTACCAGCCAACCAAAGTCGAGCAATTCCCCTTGGTCATTACCACGTGATGAATGGTCGGTTGTTGGGGTGCTAAGAGCACGTTAAACTCAGGAATGAGATCACTTTTAAAATAACACGCCGCTTAGTTAATGATGCCGATGGAAATACAAAAAATACTTATTTTAATTTCAATGAAATAAGATGTGTAGAATAGTATATTTTAGACATGTTTGTCATTTTGGAAATTGAACAATTTAGCAAATAGGGCTATTTTTATGTGCATAAACCCTGTATAGCTGTGAATGTTGTAAATAATAAAGATAGTATGTGCAGAAAAATATCTCCAGACCTTTTTTATTCTTTACTAATCCACCTTTCAAAAAATATTTTTTTACACATCCCATCAGCCGCAGCCACCTGGGAATGCTTAATTTCAGTAGCATTGGTAAATTCTGGACCGATTTCGACATTCAGTGTCTCATCAGCAGTCAGGATGACTTGTGGAGGGACATACAAGAGACGTATTGTGTGCGTATTTATGGTTACTTAAATTATCCACGACGGTAATTATTTTGTTCACTATTAAGGTTAAGTAGCCATGCCTGTCTCTTCCCAATATCTGTTTGACCTAGTGACCAATGTTAATGAAATGTCCAGAAATGGTTCATTACCAACACCTCTTGCCTGGGATTTCTTTTCAGGCGAAAAGGTCAGAGGTTAAGACCACAATGTCTGTCATGAACAGGACAGAAGCCTTAGCCACACATTCAACCAAATGCCTTTGCTATTGCTTTCAGATAATTTTAATTCAAAATGCACACACTATTGTGTCTCTTGAAAACCACTTTCATTTGTCTTTCAGAGCGCTTTCCCGAGAATGCTTTGTCTCACTGCAAGAAATGTAGTGTGCAAGGCATATGTGTTGTAAAGTAGACACCTGCTCCTGCCATGAAATTGACATCATTGTAATTGCATAATTTCAATGGCATAATTTTGGTTCTTAGAAAATGAATATCTTCAAAGGCCGATATTACATAATTTACGTGCCAAGCTTTGCAATACATGTGATGTCATCTGAAGTAGCTTACAGACTGAAATGAAGACTACGTATGCAGTGTATATATACTGTGAATACAAAAATCTATACGCATCTGCATGTCCACACGTTTCTGATCAACGAAAAGCACCTTACATCACACCTCAACTATTGATTCCGTCACAATGATCATGTGACCTGTAATGTCCACTGACGCAAACGGCGTGGAGCGGTACACAGCATACTGTCACTGCGCCCGCAGTATTAATCAGGACGGCCACTGAGAACCCAGCCGCAAACCTTTACAGCAAAAGCCCCAAACGGGCTACGCTACAGCTTTGCTACGTCAATAGCATCCCCCAATTTGGTTGTAACAATAAAAAAAAACACGCACACGCATGGATTCTGTGAACGCTTTCACACACGCGCACCGAAACCCAGTTGGTGGCTACCTCTCGGCGCAACTCTGGGTTCAATGTGAGCAGTTTTCACGAGACTAAGTCGCTCTTAGCAAAGCCTGTGTTACAAGGACAGTGTTGGTGAATTGAACACGTAAGCTTTCGCGACTAATATCCACGGTAACGTTGTTTTGGGTTAGATCGCGTAAATAAAAATAAACCCGCCACCACTCGACACAGCCAATTAGCAAAGGTTGTCACGTAAACAAAACTTGCCAATTCGTGACTACTTCGGTACACCGGTGTATTGGGAGAGTAAACCCATAAGCAGATTGTTATCACCAGCGAGACGTCATACTCGAATTGTAAATATTGTGGCTTTACTCTCCAACACACCGGTGTGCTGAAGTTACAACTAACAGTATTGGCACGTTTTGTTTACGTGACAAACCTAATTGGCTGTCGGTGGTGGCGGGTTGAACGACACTTTTATTTACGCGATCTAACCCAAAGCAACCTTGTGGACATTGTTGGTGTATCTCGGGCAATCTTTGCGAGTTCTCCTTCCCCAAGGGGTCTGTTGTGGATGGACAGCTCGTGGACAAACGCTGAGTGGGAAGGCGTTAATGAATGTGTCAGACGAGCACGGTGCGGTTCTCCTAAAGCACTGCTGATGATGTGGGTCCTCATTTCCAGATTGAGTATTCTTTCTCATTCTACGTGACTTTACCGAAAGAACCAAAGAAGATATTCTTTTTTTTAATCCACATTCTCATGGCCAGACCCAATGCCTTCCTAAGGTCGTCTAATCAATCTAATCAACGCTGAAAATTGTTCCCGTCCAAACAATATCACGTTGGTGATTATAAAGTATGTTTTTCTTTTCACCCGAATGGCACAAACTAAGACGAGTACTAGACTAGTTATAATTTAAAGACAAGGAAACTAAAATACAACAGTGTGAGTCGGGATATCCCGAACCAAGATGGCGGTGCGAGCTCTCATTTCCGGGCGGCGGCAGCCATGACTACCCGGAAGCGCTGTTCCCCCGCCCCCCCTCCCCCTGGGCTTGTGGCGTCACTTCCTGCGGCCCCCATCCCAATCATCATCATCAGCAGCCGCTGAAGCGGCATCGTCGTCAGAAGCATCATCAGCAGCAGCATGTCCAGCTGTGCCGCGCCGCCGTGACGGCAGCCAGGCCCTGGCGGCCCAGGACGAGGACGAGACGGGGGCCCGGCAGGGAGAGCCTCCGCCGCCGGTGAGGGATCCCAGCGCCTCCCTGGTGCACCCCGCTCCGCTCGCTATCCCACGCTCTGCGTGCACGAGGGGGGGGGTAGTTTACTGCTGTTGTTGTTGTTGTCACCTGTTGTCTGCTTCGTCGCTATCAGCCCCAGCATCGCTAGCATTGTCTACCGCGTCACACAGGTGTGTATGTGTGCGAACACATTGCACGCAGGTGTGTTATGCACGGGAAGCATGCCGTACACCTGTGTGCAGTACGTTCACACACACTGTGTACTCACACCGTACACCTGTGGGCAGTATGTGTACACACAGGCAGTATGTGTACTCACACCGTACACCTGTGGGCAGTATGTGTACACACAGGCAGTATGTGTACTCACACCGTACACCTGTGTGCAGTATGTATACACACAGGCAGTATGTGTACTCACACCGTACACCTGTGTGCAGTATGTATACACACAGGCAGTATGTGCACTCACACCGTACACCTGTGTGCAGTATGTGTACACACAGGCAGTATGTGTACTCACACCGTACACCTGTGGGCAGTATGTGTACACACAGGCAGTATGTGTACTCACACCGTACACCTGTGTGCAGTATGTATACACACAGGCAGTATGTGTACTCACACCGTACACCTGTGTGCAGTATATATATACACACAGGCAGTATGTGTACTCACACCGTACACCTGTGTGCAGTATGTGTACACACAGGCAGTATGTGTACTCACACCGTACACCTGTGTGCAGTATGTATACACAGGCAGTATGTGTATACACAGGCAGTATGTGTACACACACACAGTATGTGTACTCACACCGTACACCTGTGTACAGTACGTTCACACACAGTATGTGTACTCACACCGTACACCCGTGTGCAGTATGTGTACACACAGGCAGTATGTGTACTCACACCGTACACCTGTGTGCAGTATGTATACACACAGGCAGTATGTGTACACACACACAGTATGTGTACTCACACCGTACACCTGTGTGCAGTATGTGTACACACAGGCAGTATGTGTGCTCACACCGTACACCTGTGTGCAGTATGTATACACACAGGCAGTATGTGCACTCACACCGTACACCTGTGTGCAGTATGTATACACACACGCAGTATGTGTACTCACACCGTACACCTGTGTGCAGTATGTATACACACAGAAAGTATGTGTACACAGGCAGGATGTGTACTTATACCGTACACCTGTGTGCAGTATGTATACACACAGGCAGTACGTGTACACACAGGCAGTATGTGTACTTACACTGTACACCTGTGTGCAGTATATATACACAGGCAGTATGTGTACTCACACCGTACACCTGTGTGCAGTATGTATACACACAGGCAGTATGTGTACTCACACCGTACACCTGTGTGCAGTATGTATACACACAGGCAGTATGTGTACACAGGCAGGATGTGTACTTATACCGTACACCTGTGTGCAGTATGTATACACACAGGCAGTACGTGTACACACAGGCAGTATGTGTACTCACACCGTACACCTGTGTGCAGTATGTATACACACAGGCAGTATGTGTACACACACCGTACACCTGTGGGCAGTATGTGTACACACAGGCAGTATGTGTACTCACACCGTACACCTGTGGGCAGTACATATACACACAGAAAGTATGTGTACTCACACCGTACACCTGTGTGCAGTATGTATACACACACGCAGTATGTGTACTCACACCGTACACCTGTGTGCAGTATGTATACACACAGAAAGTATGTGTACACAGGCAGGATGTGTACTTATACCGTACACCTGTGTGCAGTATGTATACACACAGGCAGTACGTGTACACACAGGCAGTATGTGTACTTACACTGTACACCTGTGTGCAGTATATATACACAGGCAGTATGTGTACTCACACCGTACACCTGTGTGCAGTATGTATACACACAGGCAGTATGTGTACTCACACCGTACACCTGTGTGCAGTATGTATACACACAGGCAGTATGTGTACACAGGCAGGATGTGTACTTATACCGTACACCTGTGTGCAGTATGTATACACACAGGCAGTACGTGTACACACAGGCAGTATGTGTACTCACACCGTACACCTGTGTGCAGTATGTATACACACAGGCAGTATGTGTACACACACCGTACACCTGTGGGCAGTATGTGTACACACAGGCAGTATGTGTACTCACACCGTACACCTGTGGGCAGTACATATACACACAGAAAGTATGTGTACTCACACCGTACACCTGTGTGCAGTATGTATATACACAACTATATGCTGCGGGAGACGCATTGTGCACACAGGTATATGTCAGCCAGTGTACATGCACAAGTGACCGCGCACCTGTGTCCAGCACGTGTACAGGTGTGTATGTATGTGCATACAGGTAAGTGTATGTAAGTAATTATATATTAACTGTTTGCACGTACAGGCATAACTCTTTTTCTTTACGGTGTAGAGTTGTGTGTGTACAGGTATGGGCATGTATGTATGTTGAACTCCATTCTCACCGTATTTAGCCACCCGCACTAATCGGGTGTGTTGTCTTATGGGTGTGATTGCATATCGGTGTGTGTACACGTTTATGCTTGCATGTATGATTGTGTACATACACGAGTGTGTACTTAAAGGTATATATGTATATACAGGTTTGTTTCTACAACCTATGTGTTGTAGAAGTGTAGTGTTCTAGATTTGAAGCTTTCGTGACTGCAAGGATTCATACTCTGTTTTTTTCGGTAAAGTCACGTAGGTAAAATAAAATAAATGATGATGATTTAATTTAGTTGTTTTAATTTATTTTATTTTACATACGTGACTTTACCGAAAAAACCAAAGCGTAAGTGTAGTGTTTTTCACTGAGGCACACACTTGACTTGCAGGCAACACGTTTATTACACATCCCCAACAGAGCCAACTACATAAACGGACACACGTTAACTAGACCCCAACAGGGTAACCACATAACCAGGTCAGTCAGTAACATCCTGACTGACCCACAATATCGAGCGGAGATCGGAGAGACGTAGCGCCGAGGGTTGAGTCCAGAGAACAGCCGCAATCGAGGCTCGGGACTCGGCCTTTATGGGCCGCGGCGTGGCCGGGCCCCGCCCTGGGCCGTGGCGTGGCCGGGCTCCGCCCTTGGCCACACCCCCTTCCAGATCCTTCCCGAAGACTCTGGCCCCTACATCACATGTCCCTCTCTCCCCCTTTTGGGCTCCCCTTGCCACCCCATCCGGTCACGTGCCCTCTCGGGGTCACCCAGACTGTCATGTCCTCACTCGACCTTTCTCTCACTGTCACCACGACTATGCCCCCTCGGGCCTGCTTCCATGGCATACCCATTCTGGTGTCCGAGAGAGGCTCAAGACACACAGCTCCACTCTTGTGATGGGAGCTGGCGCGATCCGCCATAGTGACTACATCACCCCCCCCCCCCCCCCCCCCCCTTTATAAAACACAGCTGTCCCGGCTAAAAATCCCCCCAGAATTGAAAAAAAATCAGCAGCATGTCTCAAGTAATTAAAAGCCTAGCAACGAAGAACGCAGCCAACGACGGCGCAACAAATACAGAAACCATACTATGTATACAATCACCGAAAAAATAAAAAAGGGGAGAAGATTTTAAAGAAAGATTAAAAAATGTTGGCACTGTGAATGTGCCAAAGAATGCGCCAATTCGAAGTCCAGGCAGCAGCACAACCAACCCCCGCATATGAGTCACCCCCTGTGGCATCTGAAGAGCCAGGATCAGCCAATGACCCATCCGGCTCACATGTGTGACCACAACCACACGGTGTAGGGACAATTAGCTTGCTAAATGAGGGTCACTTAAAACGGGCAGTTTTTGAGCAGGTCCTCGTCGCTGGACCCCCAGGCGGGGCGAGTGTGGCCTTCCCGGGGATTCTAGGGACAGGTAGAAGATGGCTAACGAGCACGGCCCCTCCCGAGAAGAAGAAGGAAGTCCGGCAAGAGGAGAAGGAGTGGATGACGGCCGCTCCTCTCTCCTCAATCCACCTCCGGTTAGTGTAACCGGCTGCGCCAAGGGCTCTAGGTGCTGAGATCCTGCGGGCAGAAAACCAGAATCCCCTGAGGAACAACCTCCGCGGACACGTGCCCCAGCTCGTCTGGTGCATCAGACACATAGCCCCTGCTTCGTGGAGATGAAGGGATCCCGTCCGGCAGAAAAAAATGGTTTCAGTCGTGACGGATGCCCAAACCAGTGCCTGCGACCGAACTGGATGCGTACACTTTGTGGACATGTAACCTCTATAATTTACACCGGGCCTCGCCAAGGCTTATACAATTTGGGGGACGTAACTACTGGAACTTGGGGGCAGTGAAGCCAAGTCATATCACCTGGTGACCATTTAGTTCCAGATTCCCGGAGCCCAACTAGATGATTGTTTGCAGCTTGCCGCAAGGCCGAATTCCCTCGAGAAGCTTCCCTTGCTTCTGATAACCGCTTGAGGGTAAGGCGTATGGGGCTAGGCATTTTCTTATTACCCTACTCCGGGTTCAATTGAACCTTAATTGGTGGATCCTGCTCCCTCCCGTACATAAGAAAAAACGGCGAGAAGCCAGTGGAGGCGTGAGGGGTCATTCTGTATGTCGCGAGAACACCTGGAACGTGAAGGTCCCAGTCAGACTGGTCCTCATTGACCTGCTGACATAACATGTATGTCAGGGTCCTGTGCAGACGTTCCACCATGCCATCAGTCTGCGGGTGATAGGGCGAGTTGCGAACCTTCTTGGTGCCCAACAGATCACATACCTCCTTTAGTAATTTAGAAGAACATTTTTTGTCTTGGTCTGTAAGAAGGCATTCCGGGGCCCCCTTTTCCAAAACGTGACCGTGGAGAAACGCGTCAGTAATCGTCGCAGCCGACTGGTCCGGCACCAGCCAGGCCATTGGCCCACGAGATAGATACTCGACACCTCCCAACAAATATTTATTTCCCCGCGGGGTGGTAGGAAACGGGCCGAGCATGTCGAGCGCGACGAGTTCATTCACACGGGACATGCTGATCGATTTTAGTGGGGGACATGCCATTTTTGGTGGAGGTTTCTGACGAGCGTATTTCGTGCATCCTTTTAAAACATTATGGATGTCTCCTGCCATCCCGGGCCAGAAGAAGTTAAGCCAGAGAGTCGACAATGTCTTTAGGACACCAAGTTGCATCACTCGTTCATGCTTTGCCCATATTACTTTGCCCCACAAAACGGTGGGCACAACGATATTATATTTCCGCAATTCCCCATCCCACCTCATCAATAGACCCCCTCTAAGGATCACTGTGGACAATGCTCGTCGGCCCCCATCCTCCTCGAAGTTCTTAAAACGGCGCCCTATTTTAAATAAGGAGGCATCCTCCTCTTGGAGTCACCCCCATGCCGTGTGGGTGAGGCTGATTGTGTTGTCCCATATGTCAGCAGTGTCTGTGTGTGTGTGACATGCGCTGCAGCCACAACAGTGCGAGACGGTCCCGTCGCAGCGGGCTTACAACGCCCTGCCCCTGTAATGCATGCACACTGATCACTTGGTGGTAGTCATGATAGGGCGTCAGCGTTTACATGGCGAACACCCTTTCTATATGAGACCACAAACGAGTAGTCCTGAAGGTATTCTAGCCATCGGGAGAGCTGGCAACTGCCAGAACCCCGAAATGATGGTGGCGGATGCTCTGGTATCGATGAGCACCCGTACTTCTACGCCCTGAACGGTTCCGATAATGGCTGACGATCCCGCCGCAGCAGCAACAACACGGCGGCCCAATGCCAACAACTGACCGGGACGCTACGGCCACCCATCGCCCACAACAACTCGACCCTCGTGCAACGCAACCCGGTGAGGACCGACGACCCGCAACTCCGAACCCGATGCCTGAGGTGACTGCAAGGGCTGTGCGTGTGGTGCGCCTCGACTTGCCTGAGGACCGAGCAGAGTGATGGATGGTCAAGCGTATGATTGCGGTGTCGTGAAGTTCCTCCCTCGTCGAGCATGGCATCGCATCGAGACGTGTCCCGGCAGGCCACACCTGAAACAGATGACCGGGTCGTCCCTTTGGCGAGGGAAGGTCTCCTTCGGCCGGTCTCGACCACCTTGTCATCTCGCATCGCCCTTCTTCCGTTTTGCACCGTCCAGTGAAGCGCAGGCTTGCAGAGGCTCTGCGTCTTTGGGTGCACCTTCGCCCTTGGAAGGTCCGGTGCACGCGGCCACAGTCGCACGTTGCTGGATGTTGAAATGTGCCTGGAGGCACTGTGCGACTTTGAATGAGGACAAGTCGTCCTCTTCAGTAGCGGCAACATTATTTCGAGGACCAGGGAATCCCTTCCGACATGGTACATCCCGGGGTACGCAGATTTCGCACACGTTTTGCGATCGGCGCTCCTTCTCCGGCGGCGCAGTGACGTCCGGGCTTTTTCCCTGCTCTGCCTGTAGAAGATCTTCGGGTTCCATCTCCGAGGCTGCAGCTCCCGGGGCTGTCTGTGGAATCACCCCGTCGTTCTCCTCGTCTGAAGACGACTTGGTGAGTTTTTTTCCGCTTAGTTAACATTATTTAACGCTAGGCTCACCTGACTATTATATTTCACTTCTGACTCCAGTTGTAGTGTTATTCACTGAGGCACACACTTGACTTGGAGGCAACACGTTTATTACACATCCCCAACAGGGCCAACTACATAAATGGACACACGTTAACTAGACCCCAACAGGGTAACTACATAACCAGGTCAGTCGGTAACATCCTGACTGACCCACGATGTCGAGCGGAGACCGAAGATCGGAGAGACGTAGCGCCGAGGGTTGATTCCAGAGAACAGCCGCAATCGGGGCTTGGGACTCGGCCTTTATGGGCCGCGGCGTGGCCGGGCTCCGCCCTTGGCCACGCCCCCTTCAACATCCTTCCTGAAGACTCTGGCCCCTACATCACATATCCCTCTCTCCCCCTTTTGGGCTCCCCTTGCCACCCCGTCCGGTCACGTGCCCTCTCGGGGTCACCCAGACTCACTCGACCTCTCTCTTACTGTCACCAGGACTATGCCCCCTAGGTCCCGCTTCCATGGCATCGAGGCCCAAAACACACCGCTCCAATCTTGTGACGGTAGCTGGCGCTAAACGCCATAGTGGCCCCATTTATGTCACGACACAAGTATGTCTTTTGACGTTTCTATATTTTTTCATACATGGATGTATGCATCTCTATAGAGGAGTATGTACACACAGGCACGCCTTCGCAGGGAGGTGTGTGTACACACAAGTGTATGTGAACAGGGCTGTGTGTGTACTTACAGGGATGTGGGGATATACAAGTGTGTACTACATCCTTGTTTGGGGGTGCGTGTACACAGATTTGTGTACTTACAGGGATGTGTACACATTTATGGGTGTGCGTGCATAAAGTGATATAGGTACACGCAGCAATGTATCTTTGTTCAGAGTGTACTTATCCCGTATAAATATAATTGCAATATGTGTAAACAGAACTGCATATGCTAATTTTACATTTTCCAGGCAGTGAAAATCCCCATCAGCTGTAAATAGAAACAGCACAGGCAGAAGCACATTTGACACGAGTGTGTTTAAATTCACGCAATCGCCATCGTTGTGTACGCTCCAATTGGTGTGGCGGCAGCGTTCCTGCTGTGTGGAGCAGAACGCCCTCGTTGGTTCCACGGTGCAGCTGCCCAACACACTGTCAACGGCTTCACATCCCTCCGCATGGTCGGGACACTTCCAGTTTTTGCATCTCCACCTATGGCACAACCCTTTCCTCCATATCTCCCTATAAGGGCATGTATATCGTTTTAATGTGGCGTCGATTTTAGACTGATAATTATGTCCCTTTGAAGTCAAATCCCGATTCATGTAACATCCCTTTAAAGGGACGGCGCATTTCGTGTTCTCTCCCGGGTAATCGAGACTTTCGTGAAGCCCTGTCCAGCGACAGGCCTCTTTGTGATGTTGTCCATGTCTCGCAGTCAGCGCTGTGATGTCTGCTGTGTGTAGATGTGTACTTTTGTGTGTGAGAGGAATGCTATGTTGATTTCCTCGTCCGTGTGTGTTTGTGTGTTGGTTAGGAGTGTTGGTTAGTGCACTGCACTATGGTCCCAAAAATCCGTGTTTGATTCCCTGCATCTTACCCTGTCCTTTACTAGGTCAGCCCAATACGAGTGGTTGATTCAGCTTGTGAACATCAGCAATGGTGAGACGGTACTGGCTGTGTGTGCTGTTTCCTGCATTCATCGCCCCCTTCACCTGGCCTAGACCCAATAGGTGCTCCCTAACGGTATACACGAATCGCAGGAGTACAGCAGCACAAAGGGCTGGCCGGGGCCGGCGACTTAGCCCCGTGTTGGCGTGCGGACATCCACCTTCGCGCTACCACGCTACATCCGGCCGAAATTAGCGTAATCACATCCACCCGGCAGAGTGGTCTGC